ATCTAACTTGAACATAGTTAGCGCTCTCATAGGTGATGTATTTAAATCATCACATTATATAAATCCAATATAATTTGTGCATTTAGTAACGCGACGTTTTGTATTTCTATTACTTAAATACGTGAATCCACGTAGCAATCGTATTACTTAATAACTGCTTGATTACTAATGTAACATTCGACTAAATCACAACATCCTCATTATGTATATAAGAAAGTCACTTCTTTGTTATCTCATTCTAATTAAATGATTTTATATGATTTGAATGACAAAGAATACTTTCACAAATATACAAACGTATGAAAACTAATAGAAGAAAGCATTGTAGTTTGGAGTATTCTTGGCAGACAGACAATATATGTTGAATTCAATGTCTTTTTATATTCTCTGTATGTTCCAAAAATGTCATCAACCTTTTTCTGTTATTTAACGATGTTATAAAACGTACCTATAAGATAAATAACACATTAAAATGTCATTATTATAATATACCTTATCAATATTTAATTGTTGACTAAGGAAACCAATAACATTCATGAAAATGTATCAAATCTTATAATTAAATATAAACCAATTAAATATTATACTAAATAAGAGTTAATGCGAGTGTGAAAAAGGAAACTAAATTAACATTACATTAACATGTAAACGTATAATTCGCAAATTAGATTCCCAAAATTTACATTAAATCCAAAATATATTAAATCTTTACGTATATATATTACGGCACAAGATTTTATAAATTTTGCAGCATTGTTACAAACTCAGCTAACGCTAAATATTCATAGAAAGTATTCAATTCGTATTACCAATGTACCGAATGTTCCAGAGCAGTAAAAGAAGCGTCACAGAATGTACAAATGTTGAAATATTCAAAGTATTATGTGAATACTCCTTGTATATTTCACGAAAATCGCGAGCGAGCGAACAGTATACATCTCCGCTGAGTCAGGGAGTCGTAGAAGAGCATTTCTCTTTACTCGTAAACAAAAATCATCTGAGAGAGGATATAAGGAGCGCAGTACTTGTCTGTGAAGTGAGCCCCAAAATTGGGCTCCAAGATGAAAACACATGTGTTTTCCAAAGTAAAATTTTATTTAATAAATGATTCTCGAACGACCTGACTTGGAATTTTTGGAAAAATTAAAATTTTGCGGAATATATATATGGAATATACATATATAGAACATTCTCGGAATAACGATATACAAATAAAATTTTTAATTGACATTTGAATATTTCTTTTACATTCCGTAAATATTCGGAATATTTTGGAGTATTCTTAAAATTTTTTTGGGGATTTTAGGAACATTTTATGAATATTTTAAGAATATTTAGCGTTTACTGAGAGAGACATTAAAAAACATTTTGACTTTTAAGTGATGAACTACTATCACATATGGAAACATCAATTACAAGTTATATGATTGTTAATTATTTCCGTTAATTTACGGCGTTTGTATACTAGACGCTTGCAGCGCGGCAAAATGCAACGCGATAATCAATAAACATATTAGGAGTTGTAAACTTATTGGTATGTTTCTGCGTCCAGTGTGCGCCATTAGGAATTATAGTGTTCACTGAAACATCGCCGCCGCTTGACAAGATTTTTCTAACTTTATAATCAACTTTCATAATTTTTGGGAATATTTGCAAAAAATTTCGTTAAATATTTTGCAAAGAAAATGAAATAGAATGCATGCAGTTTCTTATTTCCATTTACTAGTTAAGTATAAAATAGGCGTATCTGCATAAAGTGTAAAATATTACATACGTAAAATTTGAAAAATATATATACCTACATATAAAATTTGCAATTAAGTATAAAATATAATAATTATAATATAAAATATACTCTCTAAATCTCGTGGAGTGAAATCTCACACGAAGAGACTAAAAATTTAGTCTGTCTTGAAAAAGGAATGGAAATATGACTACTTTCGTTCAAGAGTGGCAGATTTTCACTTTTTTAATAATAAGATTTATTCTTTTGAAATGAGATTCACTTCAGAGGAGTGAAATCTCAATTTCTTTTTTTGGAGAGTAGATGTAATAGAGTACATAGATGGAACCTCACCAAAAAAAAGATTGAGATTTCACTCCTTTGGATCTCATTCCAAAAGAGTAAATCTCATTTTAAAAAGAGTGAAAAGAATGATTGACGTATTTTTAATCTTTTTTTAAGACAGATTATTATTAATTTTCAGTCTTTTCGAATGAAATTTCATTCCATGAGATTTAGAGAGTATATTAATTAGTTCTATTATATTTCTACATTTTTTTAATTTATATCACAAATTGTATTTCAAATTATATTTAGTAATAATGAAAGAATTATTTTTCATAATAATTACATATATATAATTAATAATCTATTTGCAATATTATAACATTATAATGAGATATATCTGCAATCATGGTAGAAGGATTACATGGTGTGTCCGAGTACAGCTTTATTATTTGAGCCAATCAGAATCAATCCGCAGTTTACGTCATATTTGGCGCTACATTCAAATGTAAAAATATTTTAATCTCATTTAAATCTCTTTTTATTGATTTTTAATATATAAAACATTTACTATTCAATTTTTTATAATTAATTAATTGATTTTCTGTTAATAATAAAATCAAATAAATTTTTTTTTACTTTTTGTTGTTTAAAAATAACAATACGAAATTATAAATACTTAAACATAAAACATAAAACAAAAATACAAAACAAAGATAACATAGAGAATGTTAACATTTTTTGAAATATGTTTTCGATGTTTTGAGCTTTTATTGTCAGTAATTAAAATTTGCCAATTATTAAAATATTTTGACATTTCAATGTCTTTCGACACAATCTTCAAAATAATGTATAGTATACGACTCGTATACACTGGGCAACAAAATTAACGCAACACCTGTTCACTCTGCAAAAATAAGCAAATTTCAAAATACAATAACTTCGTCAAAAATTGTCGTATCGGGATGCGTGCGTGCGTGCGTGTATGTGTGTTGGGGAAAGCGCGTGAGTGACATTTACACTTCAAAATCTGGTATTTTCGCCTCGTCTTCAAATGACTTCTTGCAAACGCTCATGCATATTGATGAAAAATCTAATTATGACTTAAGATATTTCCCACCATATTCGATGCAATGCTGCTTCTAGTTCTTGGAAATTCGTTGGCGGTCTTTCTAAATTGCGTACCCTTCTTCCCATCACACACATGAGGTGTAAATTCGACCGTGTAATCTCCCCGTGGTACACCTCGGGTAATGCTAATACGGCAGCAAAATTTTTAGAGAAAAGACTACATGATGCATTACTCACTTTAAATCACTTAATGAAAAAAATTGTAGCATAATGATAAAAAATTATTTTAAAGAGAAAATGTTAAACTTTACTTACAATTAAAGAAGTTATGGCTTTAAAATGTTTTTTCGTACATCGCTTCGCGACCATTCTTCGCGGAGATATGTGAAATTTGAATTTGTTTTTTTTAACGCTGATTTTAAGTGATGCTAATTTTGTTCAATAGCTGCAAATTTAAAAATATAATAACTTCGTCAAAAATTGTCATATCGGGATGTTTAAAACCATTTTACAGATTGAAACGTCTACTTTTCAGAAAACGCTACTTAAAAACAATTTCATGAAGATTTTATAAAATTACACAAACATAAATAAAGATATAAAATCTCAAAATTTTTTACAAAATTTACGGAGTTTCACGGAGTGAACTAAAAATTGTATACAAATGCGATTTACATCATTCGAAAGAGCGAATCTTTACCTTTACTTTTAATTTACTTTTTTAAGAAGCTCCGTACAATTTTTTTTCGATTTATTCAACGTTGAAGCAAAAATGGTCCTTTTATGATCCGATATATCTTCATTTATGTTTGTGTAACTTCATGAAATCTCCATGAGACCGTTTTTTTAAGTAGCGATTCGAAAAGTAGAGGTTTCTATCTGTAAAATGCTTTTTTAAACATCCCGATACGACAATTTTTGACGAAGTTATTGTAACATATCTTGAAATTTGCCTATTTTTGCAGAGTGAACAGGTGTTGCGTTAATTTTGTTGCCCAGTGTAATTTAAAATACGAATTATTTATTTTGTCTTATAATATTTCAATAAAATTTGTAAAAAAATAAATATATTTATATGACAATGGTTATGACAATGTACATCAAACGGCAACAGATAGATGGCAGACTGATTGATGACGTCAGCTGGAGACCTGTGCGAAAAAAGACGAAAACTCGTCCATGTTGCTGACGCACCATGTAATTCTTCAACCATGTCTGCAATCATTTTACAATCTTTCTATACTGTATGGGTAAAGATATGTCGATACGTTGGAAAAACAGCGACCTCTGGTGACTTCGTTGGAATTCGGGCTTTACTTTAAGATCCCCTTAAGTATTGCTTTGTTATATAAAAACAGTTGTAACAAAACAATATATTCTGCAATAATATATTCAAAGTTCTGCTAATTAACAATATACGAATAATATATTACATACTGTGAAAAACTGAATTAAATTTATAAATAATAATGTATTTAATGTTTACTAACTGCTTTGTAAATTATTGAATATTGTATATATTTTAGCGTTTTTTACTTCTATATTCAATGTTATTTTGAATTTAGAAATTTTTTGCTAAATTCATATTTAACGTGTCGATAAACTAATACGTATCTAATTTAGCTGTACTCGTATATGTATGTTCAATATTGTACAATAAATAATGTATCCTATTCAATATCATTTTATCACTTTCAAAAATCTTTTTTGGTCCGTTATTTTTAATTTGTTTCAAAAAGCACCATATGGTAGAACATCTCATTACCTGTAAATTAAAAAACAATCTTGGAAATCGGTAGATTTTTGTCCAAAAAATGAGCCTTTTTGCTCACTGCGATATACCGATTCGAATTAATCATAGCGCTTTTTTCACAATTTTTCCCACTATCATTCGCCCGAACTTATGACTAATAAATTTCAGGTATGAAATATGGAATGATGTGTTTGAAAGTCATGATAGCAACATTGGTACGAACATTCATATTCAAAGTAAACAAAAGCATTGAAATATACCAAATTAAATTGGAACTTGGAGTATTATTGTCTCCTAAAAAGCCATTAAAAGTCAAAATTGAAAAACGATGTTTCCAATAAAACAGTATAAAGATGTATTGGACATAAATAAGTGAAAAATATTTCATGTGAGCATCTTAAAATTCAGGAAAATATATTAAATATAATAAATATAAAAGATTTTTCTAGAATATATTCTTTATATATTATGTTAATGGATAGTTTGGAATTATTATTTCTTTAGTTTGTAACATATTATAACATATGGAATATAACAATAAAATGTAAAATATAAAGTAATAAAGTGTGAATTGAACTAAACATTTGAGACTTTTTCATATTTTTATTATAATCCTTAATAATCCTTAATAAAAGTTGTGTATTCTATTTAGTTATTCGGTATCAAATTTGACGATAGGAGACTAAAAGGAATCACTGGACTATACATTTAAAAACTCAACAATAAGAAATAGAAGTAATGATCATAATAGTTAAAACTAGATTTTTAATGCTTAAATAATTTATTCTGAATTACTATAATATATACATGTACATTATTATACATACTGTATACTATATATATGTACATGCATACTAAGTCTGATAAAAAAATAAGCGAACTTTTTGAATTACTTGGCAACGGAGCGTCCTAGCGACGTGCGATTTGCAGCACTACAATCGTTATAATTTTCCGAGTAACTGGCTTTTTTAAAATTGTTTACATCTTGTATAGTTTCAGAGTTATTGCTATTTGATTTATTGCTACAACGTGTTTTAGTGCTCATAACGATTTTCGCCTCGAAATGATTTTTTGCAATTTTTGCCTCAAGGTCAAACAATCAACATCAGTACTACAATGGCGTTTTGAAAAGATTGCACGAAAAAATTCACAAAAAGAGACCATAGTTGTTGAGACAACTCGAAATAGATCCACTTTTCATCGCTAGTTACAATTCAGTGCAGAAACCTCTTTCTTTATTGCCTAGCAAGCAGAATTCCGCAGATGGTTTTTTTGCCTTTCAATGACTCTTGGCTTCAGTTCATATGGGATCCATTTTCCTTCCTTGTAGACCTTTCCCAAGGCTCAAGCTTTCAAATAATCGGAAATAACAGATTGAGCACAATTTAATGCTTCTGCAAGTTGTTTTTGCATTTGACATGGATCTTTATTCATTCCAATGTCTGCAATTCTTCGTCTTCAAATGCTTTTGGCCGTCCAGAACGCTCTTTGTCCTCCACATTAAAATTACCACTTTTAAAGCGTCGAAACCATTCTTTGCATGTTTTATCGGAAGGAGCACTATCACCATAAACTTCTACAAGCATTTGATGAGCTTCAGCTGCAGTTGTCTTCCATTTGAAGCAAAAGATTAACACTTCGCTCAAATGATGCTTATCTGTCAAATGTCAACATTTTTGATGCAGTAAAAAACAATGTTATCGATGCGAATGTATACTTTTATATACTGAATTTTATTGACAGATGATAAAACTAAAAAATTAAGCTTGGTTTAGACATTAGAGTTATCGACAGTTCTAGCTAGAGCGATTCTAGCTAGATGGACGAAACTTTCCGATTGACCTAATATTTACAAGATTTTGAATACAAACTTATGTGTGTATTATAACTAATTTAGTAATTTGTAATGGTATCGACATTACAAGTAACGCGTAATTTGTCAACCCTGAATACATTTATGTAATGCGTGATCTACAATGGGCAGTAACATTAGTAGAATAAGGAATAGGTATAGTAATTGACCAATCATAGTTGATTATCCTCCTCACATTCGACTATGATTTCTACTCCTACTCTTTAATCTACTACTGCTACTGTCCATTGTACGCATAATGCAAATAGGAGTCTGAATTGATGTCAATCGATAATCAATTGTCATTCATAAAAAGTGAAACTTTTTGTATATAAATATTATTGGGTTATTCGGAAAGTAATTTCGTTTTTTCCCAACAGAGGACTTATTGTATTTTTTCACAGCCAACTTCACACTTAAGCCGCATAATCATTACATATTTTGACAGCTGATATAGCAAGGCTTGCTTGTGAAAAAAGTTCGATTGATTCTACGCAATAGTTTTTGGTTGGTGCCCTATCAAATATGAAAGTGAAAAGCAGCATTTTCGGCAGCATATTTTACTTTTTTACTATCGAAAAGGTAAAAATGCTGTTCAAGCAAGAAAAAAATTATCCGATGTATATGGAGAAGATGTATTGACAGAACGCCAATGCCAAAACTGGTTTGCAAAATTTTGATCCGGCAATTTTGATGTTGAAGATGCACCATGTTCTGGAAGGCCAGTGAAGCTGATGAAGACACAACAAAAAAGCATTAATTGATGCAAACCGGCGAATAACAACTCGTGAGATCCTTGAGAGATTAAATTTATCGAATTCGACCGTTCATGATCATTTGAAACGCGTCTGATTGAAAATCATCTTTCATTTTCATAAGAAAAAACGAAATTACTTTCCGAACAATCTAATATATAAAATATTATGTATTATACACTGGGTAACAAAATTAACGCAACACTGTTTCACTCTGCAAAAATAGACAATTTTCAAGATACAATAACTTCGTCAAAAATTGTCGTATCGGGATGTTTAAAAAAGCATTTTACAGATTGAAATTTCTACTTTTCAGATAGCTACTTGAAAAAACGGTCTCATGGAGAATTCATGAAGTTACACAAACATAAATGAAGATATATCAGATTTCAAAATTTTTTATGAAATTTGTGGAGTTCCATGGAGTGGAATAAAAATTGTATACAAATGCGAATTATCGACATTATTCGAAAGAGCGAATCTTTACCTATAATTTGCTTTTTTACGAAGCTCCGTACGATTTTTTTTCATCGAGTTATTCAACGTTGAAGTAAAAATGGCCCTTTTGTTTCAATGTTGAATAACTTGATGAAGAAAAATTGTACGGAGCTTCGTAAAAAAGCAAATTAAAAGTAAAGATTTACTCTTTCGAATGATGTATATTACATTTGTATATAATTTTTAATCCACTCCGTGGAACTCAGCAAATTTTGTAAAAAATTTTGAGATTTTATATTTTTATTTATGTTTGTGTAACTTCATGAAATCTCCATGAGATCGATTTTTAAGTAGCGATCTGAAAAGTACAGATTTCAATCTGTAAAATGCTTTCTTAAACATCCCGATACGACAATTTTTGACGAAGTTATTGTATCTTGAAATTTGCCTATTTTTGAGTGAAACAGTGTTGCGTTAATTTTGTTGCCCAGTGTATTTTGTAGAGGAAGGAAACAAGAGTGCTAATTCTAATGAAAAATTTATGAAGTATAATATATGAAGACATATTATAAATTATAACGAGACTACAGTAAATGAACACAGAAGAAATGAATGAAATAACGAAATTAATGTCAATAATGATTATAAAGATACGAATGACATTTGTAAGTGGACTATTAAATGTAACATAAATCAAAATAATCTAGAAGAATTGTTAAACATATTACGCCGTAATTCTTACCCAAACTTGCCAAAGTGTGCAAAAACATTCTTATTTATCAATAAAGCTTCGTATAATATTCGAGTAATGTACGGAATAGATGGAACAGCTGACGAATTTGTATATTTTGGAATAAAAAAATAGCTTAATCAATATTTTGTTCCAAATTTACATATCTCATCAGATATATTATTACAATTTAATGTTGACGGAATGATATTGTTTCACTTTAGTTCTAAACAATTTTGGCCAATTCTGTGTCAAATTATTTGTGAATCATTTGTATATAATATCCATTTTGTGTAGCAATTTATAGCGGAAATAGTAAACCTGTAGATAATCATAATTTTTTAAAAGAATATACAAGAAATTAATCAATTAATGTCGGAAAAATCAATAATTAAAGGAAAAGAGTTTACAATAAAAATTCATAGTTTTGTTTGTGATACACCGGCTTAAAAATTTTTTTAATCAATTGTAGGACATGAAGGATATGGTGCTTGCGAAAGATGTGAAGTTTATGGCACTAGTATTTTAGGAAAAAAAAATTATTGAAAAGTAGTATATCTATGTTATGTACGTAGGCTGCTAGAAAAGTTTCTGCAAACAATATATGAAAAAATATATGAGAAATTCGGTAAATGGCTTTATTGTTTTTCGAAGTATTCGCCTTTAAGATCGATACATTTTTGCATACGCTCGAACCAATTTTCAAAGCATTTTTTCCACTCTAAGGCTGTAACCTCAGATATCAGTGTACGAAATGTTTCAACAGCTGCTTCAGGCGACTCAAATCG